AAACCCAAACACCGGAAACGACGTTGCGCAGGTCTTCGTCGTCGTGTCTCTTTATAGGTACACAGACGCGCGAAAAACACAACGAATTATGTTTTTTTTTTTTCTTTAATAATTATACATAAATAATATTATTTATGTATCTCATGTTTATTATATGAAAGCAAAACAAAAAAAAATATATATAATAATAATAATAATAATAAAAAATACTCCTCGAGAAAATCTCTACAATGAATTGGTAATATAAAAACGAATGCGTAACAAATTATCTAAAATAATATTAATATAAATAATAATATAATCATAAATAAAAAAAAAATTGAAAACAAATAATAAACATAGGATGTTTTACTGCCAGACTTCGTAGACTTCTTGTTGAAACTTTACCGTTTATATATAAATATAAATATATGTATTTGTATAATGTATATAATAATAATAATTTTAAAAAAAAATCGAGAGGGAAGAATCTGAGTCCTGACCGTCTATATATATAAAAAAAAAATAATAAAAAAAAACGCCCCTTCAATATTAGGCCTCATATAGTTTATTAATTTGTATAACACTAATCTCCGTTCTACACCAACACTTTTACACTTCTGAATAAAATTCAACATTTTTTTTTTTTTTATAATATATAATAATATAATATAAATATAGGTGTCTAAACACATAGTGGACAGGTGATTATTGTTATTTTTTTTTTATATTTTAAGTTTTTGTACTTTGAACCGACGATTTTTCAATACACATAAATAATATTATATATAATTATATCGTACCTATTTATTAGTTAAAAATTTTTAATTTTATATTTTATTATATTATCTTTAAATACCGTACACAATATTATATTAAAGTTATTATGTTAAAGTATATATTTATATAATATAATCATTATGATACATAATTCACTCACTATAATCTAAACACCCTAATGTCTATACACATTTATATATATATATTATTTGAAAAAAAACCTAAAATCATATTTTACTACTTTTTGATTAAAGATATAAAAAAAATAAAAATAAAAAAACGATAAAATACCTACACGATGCACGTTAACGAATTTGAAGCGAAGACCATGTGAAAACGATTTCACTAAACGAAGAGCGAAGTCGGAACGAAATCGAAAAACTCTTATATACATGGAGTCTGCGGCCCATTGCGGGGAGGAGGAGCGACTGAAAAAACGCGTTTTGTTTTGAATATTATACGACACGCGCAGAAAAAGAATAATAAAACGTTATACAATCGCAGTAACGTAATAAATGAAGAGAGAAGAGGTGATTATCATGAGGCACCATAGTGTGAGTGTGGGGCTGCAAATATGTGGTAACCGATTACCCGTGTAGTGGGTACTTAAGCGGGTCATACGACTAGATTAAATCCGCAAACGCTGCTCGGCCGTTTATTTGTCGGGAGACAGGTGGGTGGTGGTATTTAATATTAATTATCTTTTTTCTCCACAAATACCGTATGATAATATATAATCGCCCACTACTACAACGTCAAAACGTTTATTTTGTTGAAACATTATTCATTATTACTTGTTTTTTACATTTATTGAGCATTTATACACATCCCGCGGGCCTATCGCCGAGAAGTTTTGCCCTCCCCACACCCCCCGATCATAATACGTAAGTACTTTTTACGATTTTGAACACATTTTTGGATAATATTTTCGGGCAGTCTACATACGTGTTCGCAGTCCTCCTCCTCCTCCTCAATAATATCTGAGACATAACTACAGACTCTCGTCTCCTTATTATAGCTTCGGACCTGACATACTAATTTACTTACTAAAGAGCGAGGTCAAATAAATTTAAGGCAAATAAAAATAAAAACCGTGACACCGTCACCAAAAATTCTAACTATTGCTATATAAATACACTCGCAAGGAAAAAAAAAATTAACTAAAATCAAAAATGCTAACAAAAAAAAGTGCAAAAATAAAAACAAACTGTGTAATACAAACTATAAAATTAGGTAGTTCGAATTATTTGTTTTAAATACTATGTATGCGTATAATATATTTTCATGATTTTTAAAGTTTTATTAAAATTCCGACTCTGACTAGAATGCAAAACTAAAAATTTCGAGTACTTTTCTCTCGTTCAAAAAACTAAAAAAAAAAAATTAATAGTAGATAATAAAATGTATGCAAATTATCAATATTGAAAATTAAAACTACTATTTTATAGAAGGTATCTGTTGTTCTCTCTTATTAAATCCCTTAGAAATATTACACAAAACGCAAACCACTCAGAAAAACTCTAAAAAAAATTATTTAAAAAAAATTCTCAACGGGATTCGAGACCCGATGAAAAAAATTAAAAGAAATTTCTTTACACATTCATCATGATAATAATAATAAATAAAATGATGATGATGATGATAATAATAATAATAATAATAATAATAATAATAATAATAATAATAAAAATACACAATATAAGAACTGTACACGGGGGAAATAATGGGGGTTAAAAACTAATACGATAGCGAATTACATCATATAATATATAATATACTATAATATCTTAAGACATGGGGTGAAAAATATGATATTATCAAAAAAAGTGAGTTTTTTATACTCCCTCTCTCTTCTATCTTCTTTTCTCACTCATGTAACACTATCTATACACTAACAAATGCGCTGTAACGAGTTAAACAAAATAATGTTTTTTTTGGTTTTTATTTGTTTTTTTTTTAATGAACAGGTACTGACAGAGTATGTCGAAAAGAAAAAAAAATGTATATAGAATAATAACACGGCGACAATCCAAATGCGTCGAACAAATAAAAAAACTCTCCTAGAAATACGATTTAATTTGTTTAAAATAGTCAAAAATTTACTCCGATAATACAAAAAATCCACGTAATATTATATATAGATATAATATTGCTAATAATATCAATTAATGAAGTATTTCCATTTGTTCCGATCCGTTCCGTTTTTTTTTTTTTTTTTGTTTTTTTTCTCCCTTACTTTTTTTAAAATTTATAAACCTACTCATTTAGACTATATAAATAATCATTAATTAAAAACATAATTTGTTTAATGTTGTACTATTAGTGCATAATAACAAAACATAAAGCATAAAAAAATCACGATTCACAATATATGTATACATTAACAATATCAACTAATATAATAAAGGAAAGAAGTATAATTAGAGAAATCAAAACAACTCAACTTGGGCTAAAATGAGTTAAACAAAAATTAACTAAAGAGTATTCATTTCCGTGAGACAAATGAAACCCGAGGGAGTTTAGTATTTTTTAAACAACGATTTGTATTGTATTTTTTTCTTTTGTATAATATAACTTGTGACCCCCGAGTTGATCAAAATCGACAAAAAAAAAAAAAAAAATTAAATCAAAATAATAACAAAAATTATGATTATGATGATGACGATGGATTTGAAATCAAAACGAAACACCCAAAAACGACAAAAAAAAAAACCCGTATACTATATATTATTAGATAATTTTTAAAATCTCGAGATTTCGTATAAGTATAATATAATTATTAACACACACGTTAAAAACTGTTCCTTTCTTTGTTACTTTGTTAATTAACATATAGTACGATGGTAACAAAACAAGAGGTAGCGCGTAATTGAGCATCAGAGCAAGAATACATAATAATAATAATAATAATAATAATAAATATAATGTCGCGTGTGTCTATATAATTAACCACACACACGTTACACACACGCGTCATACATCAAATACGCACGCACAATAGGCGCGCACACAAAACGATAATAGTAACGATAACAATATCGTTAGGTTAGGTACGGCCGTGTGCGTGGGCGTCTACGTAGACAACATACAGATAGGTAAAATTATCGTATAGGGTTTTTAGATAGCTCAAACGTGATATTATTTTTTATTATATAATTATTATCCATATATATCGTTAATAATATTATAATATATTATTCCATTACTTTTTAATAATTGTACTCTACGTATTTATCAATAATTAATCAATTATATAATATGTTGTACTGTTGTTCTAATGAATATTATCATACATGATATAATAATATAAATAATAATAATAATAATAATAATAATTAAACCCGCCGGACGTCGACGAGAATCGACGACACCGCGACGAATTAATAGCACACACCACCGCAGACGACGCTTCTTCCGTCCGCCATCGCCACCACCGTCGATCGTTAGCGAAAAACCGTGTACGACTATAATTATTTATGATTATAAGCTACTCCGCAAGACGGACAGCGGTCCGTCAAAAAAAAAAAAAAAAACCGATCGAGAGAATTATTTTTTTCAAGACATTACAACCCAACACTATAGGACATCGTGAACAAAAGATAAAACATATTATAATAATATTATGTTCTGCGCACACCGTCGTGTCAAATTTACTATTAATATTTTTTTAACTTTTTTAAATATCGAACTATAAACAAATAGAACCAAAAAATGTCATACATACGTACACAAAATGCCTCCGCCGAAATCGAAAAAACGGATGATGGTGTTCTCGTCGTGGCGGGCTGGCGGGCGGGCGGGTGAGGAAAAGCTGTCGATAGGGTCCCGCTCGAAGTCTCATAATATATTGGTATAATATAATAATATCATCCCATTACATAATATTATTATTATAATTATTTGGTTAATTTTTTTATATTTTGAATTTTTTTTTTGAATTTTTTTTTAACGGGGACCGCTGTACAAAATTTTTTAACAAGAAAAAAATTACATTACGACGTCTTTTCTTTGAAAATCACTAACACCTAATAATTATTAAAATCTTATGAATAATGATTATTTCAATGTTTTTTTTTCATTTAAAAAAACCACAACGTAATAATAATAATATAATAAAACAACTACGAACAAATTAATAATAATAATAAAGAACACCTTGTTTTTTTTTTGTTTTTTGTTTTTTGAAAAGATGAAAAAGCCGTTTCGGTTTTTTTATACACTCGACTGCATTTGAATATAGTTTAGACCAAACCCAAGTGGTTGATGGCCGCCATGATGTCGTTGACTTTGGTGTCCCATATGGAATGGAGCAGCTTTTCGATGGCCACCGAAGTGTAATCGGGCGGCGCGTGCTGTTGCTGTTGCTGTTGTTGCATCTGTTGCAGGTGCTGATGATTTTGTTGCTGTTGCTGTTGGAGCACGGCCGGCGGGGTGACGGCGACTGCCGACGAGGAGCAAATCACCGCTGGCGCGGCGACGGCGGTGCTTGCCGGTAGGCGGCCACCGGCCCCGACCATTGTGGCCGGGACCGTGGCCGTATGTTATGGCCACTGTCGGGTGTAGTACACCGCGAGCGGCTTGACAAAGTGATAGTCGACGGAAGTGCAGTGCGGGCAGGTGACTTTACGGCTGTAATCGCTGTAGAAGTTCAGTCGTTGGTGCGACAACATCAATGCTTTCTGACAGCCATTGCACTGTGCAAACACAAGGACAGAAACATTGCACTGTGCAAACACAAGGACAGAAACAACAATTTAGAAAACAATATACTTAGATGATATAAATACACGCAGACGAGTGGCGGGGCAGGACTTTGAAGGTTTTTTCCAGTATAATATATATATATATATATACTATTCGAAAACGTTGTTAAGCTACCGAGTTTGGACTTTTAAAAGGGATTTTAATTTATTAATAAAAGGCACTCGTAAAAGTATCGTGTTGGGTTAACGTGTACGCTTAGTGTAAAATCACACGTCTGGTTAAAGGTGATGCCGGAGACGTGCGCAAATTATTTTTCGACTTCAAAGACCGTATTAAAATCCATCCTACTTGGTGTATATAGACGCGCTTGCAGGCTTATACAGCATCATTTTGGTGACGCAAATTAATTAGCTGAACAACGCGACGAGAGAATTATGAAAGTCTGCTTAATACTGCATAATTACTTTCACTATACACGCGGCAGCCAATCCGGAATTTACCCCTTTTTACATAACCCCTGCCCACCAACTGGCACGCTATACACCCTCCAGCCGAAAAAAGGGTTGTTGTTTGTGAAGAAAAGAGATCGCTCGGCCCAATTATATAGTCGTCGAACAACTACCTACTTAGTACTGTATATTGGGGCGCAGTCGATGACAGATTTCAGACAAAAATTAATTTGCGATAACCATTTTAAAAAGTACAATATTATAATATAATGTTGTCTGACGCGATACACATTATAATCACATAAAATGAACATTGTAGAGCGTGTACACACCTTGAGTCGTTCGTTGCAACACGGCATGGCAGCGAACACGTCGTAAGCGTACATGGTGCCCATAATGAGTGACGAACCGTCCCACTGGGTGGCGCAGAACCGGCAACACAGCTTCCGGTCAGCGTCTTTTCCGTCCAGACATTTCATGCAGACGGCGTTCAGGAACAGAGCTCGTCCTTCGTTTTTCACCTGCGGGCACATACGAAAAAAAACGGACGGGCGTGAGACATAAGCGATAAAAACCAAAAAAAAAAAAAAAAAACACCCAAGTTTATGAGAGGCATAAAAACATTATGCTAAAAAGTCTTGGATCCTGCACCGAACCACCCCATATCAAAGTATTACGAGTAGCGGCGGCAGAGTCTGTCGGAAAAACTACCCCTGCGGCGTAGCCTCGGCAATATAATAATAAACGCCCTTTTCACGCACCACCGCCGCCGACGTAAGTTCTTTATAATAATGATTTCTGAGCTCGCTCGATTATTTCTGTACACGATTCTTATTCCCCGTCTCCCGAGTGTACTTTTTCTTTTGAGCGAGAGTGTGTGTGTGTGTGTTAAGCAATACGCATACCGCACACTACTCAGCCGCGGGCGAAATCATTAAAAACGTACCGACGGTAGAAGGTGAGCGCGACGACGGTGGCGTGGCGGAGGGACAAAAACCGGATGGTTTCCTAAGGTTGTTTTCCTAAGAAACGCGCGGCGGCACGCACTGCGAAGCGGAAACATTGCAACGTTTAATGGGAAATCCGAAATCGACATGTTCGGAGAGAATGGAGAAAAAAAAAGGCCACCACCGCCGCCGACCCTTCTACGAAAACACATAGAGAGGCGGCAGTATGTGTGTGTGTGGGAGGGGGGTAGGGTTTCGCAGAGAGAGAAGTTCCATTAGACAAATAACGAAAGCGATTTTCAATGTTTAAGGGGAAAACGAGGTTCAGTCTTCACTGTAATTACACGATGACCAGAGATAGAATACACACACGCACACAATACGCCGTCAACAAGAGCAAAGAAACCGGCTCCGGAGTATATTATATGGACGTAGACATAAATATATAGGCTATAATACACAACGTAGTTCAAACTTTAAAAAAAAAATTATCACCAAGCAATGTGGCTTTTTGTGTAATGGTCTAAGGTCTGACGAATAATAGACCAACAATAACAAACATAATTTTGAGTATGAAGACGTAAACCAACACATATCATTACGCGATTCGTTTGTTTATCGTTTTGGTAGATATTTAATTAGTCGGGATAAATAAATAGGAATATAATATTATTTTAATATGACCCGCGGTGACTTCTCAGGAATACCATGCTAAGTCATATATTCATAACTGATAATTAGGTTTTAATACAATTACATAATGTACATCGAGCAGTACAGAAAGTAAGATTTGGATATAAACGGAAAATAGATCTATCTTTAAAAAAAAACTGAAAGACGATCAGCTATTAACGTCATTACGGGACTACTGTTTCGGGCAAAGTAGCACCATTAAAAAATTCTTTCGGAAATCTCTTTGTCTGGCTATCAAAATACATCTCTCTCGGTCTCTCTTTCTCTCTTCCGCTTCCCTCTCCGGGTTGTCGTCGATAATTGATATTAACGAGGTGTACGCGTCCAAAATACAAAAATAATTTCTTGTGTGTTAGCTGCGTGCAGTGGCCAACGAAATCGACGAAAACGTGCAGTAACAACGCCTTGTCGACGAAATGGATACGAAAATAAAACGACAACGTTGCGGTGGCGGCAGTACGAGGAGGATAATAAGAATGTTCATTTCGAAATCGAAATCCAACCGGAGGAGGAGCAGAGTGTACACTATACAACACACTAACTAAACTCCGAGGGGAGGGGGTAGGTTTTAATTATAAACCTGGTAGATGTTTGCCTTTTTACCTCGTGTTTACTCGTGTGGCAGCCACAGAACACCTGCACACACACACACACACACACACGCACGCACGCGAACAAAACCAGAGGGTACCCCTCTGCTGACGGTATAGTATTATACAAGAAGAATGACGTCTTCATTGAGCTCTCTCTCCTCTTTCTCGGTATATCTATCTTCGCCAACGTCTCTCCGTAAACACACCGAAAAAGACGTCCCAAAAAACACCGAAAATCTTATACTTATATTTATATATGCACATATTTATGCAACGACGGTTTTTGATATTGTGTAGAGAGACGAACTTTTTAATTGGAACGCTGGCGATGCACGGCACCCCTTTGCCGAAACGAGACGGATACACCGACAACCACCACTATATAACCAACACCGACGTCGAAAGCGAAGGTCGTCGTTGGCGATGATGATGATGATGATGATGTCTCATTATTTGCGTTTAAAAAAGCCAACCAGAGCGTAATTAATTAGAAAAGCGAGCGGCTTAAAAAGAAACAGCCCTCGGAGTAAAAACTTGTTTGTTCAACACACACCACTCTCTATACTGCAGCCGAGCACAAAGTCGAGATCACTGTTCGTAATCCACGGGAGGGTAAAAAAAACAATATTTTCGAACGTTTGCGTGTATACTAGCTACGGGAAACCGATAAACATTTACTTTATCCAACGAGAGTTTTCAGGGATAAAAAATATATCCAAACCAAAGATAACTTGTGTTATAGAATATAGCAGTCTCGTAGAAGCTTCGGAAATAAGTGACAGATCACCATTGTAATGTATAATACGACGCGTCATCGAACACATATTGTCGTACGAGCTTAAAATATATGTGCGCGAGTGAACCAAGAATATAATAATAATATATTATGTTGTTTTATGGCTTTTATAGGGATTTGTGTGCGCTGCACCTAACACGTCGAGCGAGGATTATCCCGGCGCGCTGAAACGGCGGCTTTTTATTCGGAACTTTTTTCGAAGGCTGTGTGGCGGCGGCGTTTGTATGTTTACCGTCGTCCGGGGAGAGAAAAATAGTAACCGTAGGGGTCAAACGTCTGGGCCACTTCACTCCACGCCCGTTCGACGAGGGATTTACCGTGGTGAAAAGACCGCTTAAGGTCGACGACTTAAGGGAGGAATCGGACAACACACGAAGCGAAACCGTTGTGCACGCGCGTGAAATATGCTTTGACAAATATTAGCTCGTCGCCTCACGCGTGCATGTGTGTGCGAGTGTGTGTCAACATTCACGCAGCACGCACAAAAAAAGGTCCTTTTTTACGGTCAAACGATCACACATGTTTATAAGTCTTATTTCTATCGTTCCTTTCGAGAGCAAAAAAAAAAAAAAATACACATAAGAGCACGGGTATATTTTACGCTGGTACATTTTTCGAGGTTCCGTCGAGTGTAAAAAACATGCACCAACGAGGGTAGGAAATACATCGAACGGTTACATCGATAGTTTTCTACAAAATATAATGTATACTATTATATATATGCGATAAGCGTATACGTCATAATCGACGACGTCGCAATCAAGTCAATGATTTACGGCAAAAAGAAATTGTTCGGAGTTCTCGGAATTTGATAACGCAAAATAAAAAAACACTGACAATTTTACTGTATGCATATTATTATATTCACCTCAACGGCGTTTTTGTTGTATTGCTTGGGGCTGAGGAAGAATGTACCGTCCACCAGCGGATATCGGTCGAACACCAACATGACGTCCGAGCACAGGACGCAGTTGACTCGCGATTGGTTTTGAGCGGCCAACGACGACAAAATGAACGATCTGGTCTCGTCGTTTCCGTGGTTGCCTTCGTCTTCGATCTGCAAAGGAGCAAGATAATCACAAACGTTAGTGCATCTCGCTATACATACACGTTATATAATACTCTTAATGCGCGCATTTGTCGTGGGCAGAGGAGAGGTTAGGCAAAGCAGAGGTCGACAGAGGAGTCTGCGGTGGTCGGGGAAAAAAAAGTTATTACACCGATCTTATCCACCCACAAACTATATAGACTGTGCTGTAATACTATATATATTATATTATACAGTATAGACGCTGTACGTTAATCAAAATTGGTTTGGATTTCAATCAAGACGGATTGCACTCGTTCGGACGCGACTTTTTTTTTTGTTTCCTTTTATTGACGTATGCGCCGAGTGCGCGTCTTCCGCATTTGAGACCTAGAAGAGCAGCGGCAGTAACAATGCGTCTCGACGTACCATTGTGAAAAACTTTTCCCCGTGCGTAAACGTAGAGTTTTTTGATTAAACCGATTACTTTTACCTCTGACCTGCCGCACACCCGCCGCCGCTCCGAAGCGGCCTACCGAATCGAATAAAAGCAGTCCATTACTCTTTGCCGATTTTTTTTTTTTTTGTTCCCTCTCTGAACGAGATTTTTCGCAAAGTATATTTGTTCAGGAGCCGACCAGACCCCCGCTCCCCGCCCATCGCTGCGACGTGCGGCGCGCAATTAGTAGGGCAGTTAATGGACCCGACCCGGGAGAGGGTGCGAGAGAGCAGTGCGTATAAACTATAAATGGAAAAATAGATTGCCAGTGGCAGACCTATTATTGCACACTCACACACGCGGTGTACCTTTATATAAGTGTAAACGGCGGATTTACACGGGTCGCTTTTAGACGTTTTTCGCACACGGCGGCGGGGATCGGTATATATATCAAAACTTTTATATACACTTTTGAATTAAAAAGCTTTCGTAAACGTCACTATAAGTGTGTTATATACATAAAAGAGAAAGCGGACGATGGGACTATATATAATATAGATATATTGAAAAGTCCATCGAAACACGATAAAAGAGATTAAACTTTAGAAACTAATATATTTATTCTTTTATTATTTATATATATTATATCGTTATATTGTGATAGTCACAAGTTTACAGTCGCATTTATTAGATTAACAATAACATACCAAGCTTCTTCCATTACGAAACAAACAATGCGCGGAACAACGACTGCAGCGTTGAAAATGAAGAAGTGAGCAGGAGAAGTCAGTTTTCAGTGCAGTCGGTTTCGGATGTATTAAACGAGGTACAGGTTTATGGATACACCGTAAAAAAAACGTTTTCGTAAATTGCATCACAAGTGGCGTAAGTGGCGTTTTGCTGCTCGGTAATCGTTGCCAATTACCGCGGGTGCAGGCTCGGAGTTTATTTTGTCGCCTCGTATGTATGTAAAAACGGCGGCGAAAATAAAAACGCCTTTGACGCGTGAAAATAAGGAAGAAAACGATATTACCCCGGGATGACGACGTCGTTCTCGATATTAAACTCCGGAGTTGTTTATTTTACAACCGTCGTCGTATATACACGAGAGAAGCAAATATGGGGTGTGAGAGCGTGTGTGCGGCGGCGGTCCAATTTCATAACTTCGGGCGAGGAGCATACACGACGAAGTGAAAACGAGTGCAACTCTTTAAAAGACGCTAATAAACAACGCAGTCGTCTCTTGCACCCGGAGACCCATAAACATGAGTTTCCATCCCCCGTATCCGAGCTATTATTGCCAAAGAATTCTTATTCTTCTCCTCCTCCTGATCTTATATTACATTTTCTCGGTTCTATTATTATTAACGCGGCGGCGGCGGCGGCGGCTGTGCCCTATACCTGTTCGTTCGCGTATATAACACCGGTGGGAATTCACAATTTTTCGGATATTGGATTAACAACACGCTACGTGTATATAGTGCCCCTCCCCCGCCCTAAAATACACCCGACACCGACGCACCGTAACCTGCAGGAATGAAAACGATAGACAAAAAATTCGCACCACCACACACCGCCTACGCAGTATATTTGATTTATATATTATTATACACGGCAGCAGAGTCCCGTGTAGGCATGTACAAAAGTCGTATAAAAGCGTGAAAACCTGGTGGGAAATCGACCGAAAGGCGAGCGCTTCACAATGAATGCAGAACGACATAGGCGATTAATACTCAAACTCGCGAGCTCCGACTCCTCCGCCGACTCCTTAACGAACGCGTATTGTCACCTCGACGGTGGCAAATGCACACACAATGCACCGAAATCGAGAGGAAAGGGCACGGAATATGCGAAATATGCGATTGTCTGCCGGAGGGAAAAATAACCTTTAATTTATATGGTATATATTGTCTGCTCTCGGTATACGGTTAGGGGATTGTGCCGCTCAGTGATCCGCCGTGCGCGTGACCACACACGAGTGAGCGAACGCTCGTCGGCTGGTTTGTTTTCGATGACGATGATGAATATAAAAGAATGGCGAAAGTTAATTAAAACGCTATACGCTAAAAGGGAATTAAACCCTTTCACATCCTCTCCACCCGCATATATCGAAACCACTCGAAACTTGTACATAGCATATCATATATATATAGGTACATAACACTCATCTCCAATTTAAATTCGTATATCATGTATATGGATATCGCACACCACTTAGTACGCATCATCCGCATATATATATATATATATAATATTTAGGCGAGGACGAGGTGGCGTATACGTACACGCGGTGCGTATATATTATACTATATATACATTCAATTTGTAGATTGAAAGTTTAAGCACGCGAGCGTTCGCGTGTTGACTTTAAACTTTGCCATAGTGTTGTTTGCCAAACCATTTTATTAAATACGAGTTTGTTCGGAAAATTTTCCCGGAGAGATGAGACGTCGACTTGAGTGCACCCCGCGACGACGATGACGATGACGACGCACATGATGGGTTGGTTATGATGATACCTACACTCTTAGACGAGCGTGTATGCGAGCGAGAGACTGTAGAGATACGACGGGCGGCAAAAGCTACACAAATGAAAACCTTCGATTTCCACAAACAACGCAAAGGCCCCGTTAACCATTACGTATATTAAAATCTAATACGTTAATGCACGCCGCCGAGCGAGCGATCACGGGGTAATCCGACAGCGGTATATGAGGAGCGGACGATCCCTCGTCGGACTGCAGCGGAGTGTATATGTGTTTCTACATCTGTGCGTGTGTGCAAGCACGTTTTGTGTGTGTGTATAATATTATATGACCACTAATTTGACCGGCGAAAATTTATTCATTCGAACATCGTGCGCGAATATACATATATACAACAAAGCGACGTCAAATTATTACCCGACGGGCACGAGAAGCGGGGCAAAGGGAAATTATTCATGCGCCGACCGAACTCCCTCCACGTCATGCGACCGGCCTTTGGGGTATTATGAATTTTGATCTCTGTTTCGTTTCTCGTTTTTTTTTTTTTTTTATTTGCCCCATCCGTGTACCCACCCGCGTCTCTCGTCAAGACCTCACACTACCGCTTCTGATGCACATTTAAACTATATACGCGCTAAATCAACCTTTCACTCGCCTCCGTCATTATTGCGTTGTACATGGCATGGTCATTTAAATTGCAAAACGGCTTTTTAAACCTTTTTACAAGAGAACAAAAAAAATTGTAGCGCGTACACGGTGTAATTTATTTTTCAAAAGTGAACAAAAAAAAGCGTGTGCGCACCTACCCACCCGCAGTCATCAACCAGCACACGTTTGAAATTTTAGACAGTCCGAGTGGAGTAATAATAATTATTATTAAATCATCAAATATCAATACAACCGAGCACACTTTAGTTTACTATACAAGCGTACGCGTAATTTTAGAGTAGAATTTTTCGAAACGAAACTTTACACGCCCTTTTGAGGTGTGTATGTACCTGCAGAACGTCGAGTTTCAAATTAAATCCGAAACTTTAATTGCAAAGTTATAGCAGTGCCGTATATATAGTTATACTCGATAAATGTGTAGGTACCGTGTATAGTGTATAAGTCATTAAACCGGCGGAAATCTCAAATTATTTATGGACTCTATATACGCACCGTATAGTATCTAGTCGCCGATATGGAGGAGGCGAAATCCAGAGCACTTTGGACGACGTTTAATATATATTATATTGTATAAACGTTCATAAAAACCGTTTACAGTGCCGTTCTCTAAACCGTATACAGTAAATCAACCTATTCGGTGTCCGGTAATCCCTTCTTCTTTTTACACACGCACGCCACCGCCCCCGCCGCCACCACCACCACCACCACCGCCGTCACTAATACACGTATAAGAAAAACGGTTTTTCTAATCCGGAAAATAAGCAAAAACCGGTCACACAAATTACCGATCGTAAATACACTCCGCGCAAGAGGGGAAAAATTGGAAAGGAGAAAAAAGTTTAACTGCGTTTTTATCGGACCGGTCGGTTTTATCGCGTACCGACACACATACGACCGGCCAGCAGGAGAACGAACGCCGCTGAAAAGGGTATATACAATATATTATATGGTAGCGCAGTTGTGGGTGGGCGGCGGGTGAGTAGGAGAAAATAGTAAATAAAAATCCCGAAAAACGCATAAAAATCCCGAAAACCGAGTCTCGTGTACGCGGCGAGGTTGCCCCCGTGTAAAGTGGGCATTTTGGAGACATGCGGGGGGGAGGGCACTTAAGAGAATGACCCTTTATGGCAATAATATGTGCCATTGTGCAGGCCGAATATATATTTAGTTTATGTCTCCTGTCCAGCGCGTATTTTACGGGCTCTACACCAATGACGTGTGCGTATTATTATATACGTTTAACTCTCTCTCGGCCCAAAGCTTTCAATTTCTACGAAAGCCCCGATCCCGGAAATAGTTCTTGCCGACCGTTTTTCGACGACGACAGCGACAAATGACTGCCGAGACTCGAGAGAATAATACACATCTATACAATATATAAATCCGAATTATTAAAAACCGCGACTAGTGACGACGATTTTTGCAAAAACCTTAGC